TGCCAGGCCGGAGAGCTGAATCAGCTCCGATTCTGCAGATCCTTCCCTGAGTCCTGCTGCCGAGCACCGATACTTGTGCATCCTCTGGGCCACATCAGGACTGGAAAGAGGAGTAGATATCAGGCGGAAGGATCTGGCCTTCTGCTGGTGACAGCCACCTGCATGGCCTGTTCCTGCTTTCTCTTTTCCCCAGGTGGCATTGTGCTTCCCAAGCAGTGCGTGGACCTTTCTGATGGCAGTGAGCAGCAAGGAACCGACTGGGTCTCAGCTTCCTTCCTGCCCTGCGCCTGACTGAGGGACCCTGCGACCAGCTCAGGAGGTCAGAGGTGGCCATGGGCCCAGCTTTGCCAGCTTTCCCTGCCAAAGGGAGCAGGTCAGGGAAAGACACAGCCTGGGTGAGCCTGAGCTTTACTCCTGCATCTGAGGGAGCTGTGGACACCAGCTGTGGACACGGCTCATAAAGGTGTGGGTCAGCTGTGGATGCTCAGTGTTCTTAAGCAGCCCAGCTGTACCTCCAAGGCTGCAGTCACAATTTCTCTGCGAGGCTGAGATACCCTGAGGATCACGGCATCTCTCACTTTGCTCTCACGCCCTTGCTCGCAGTCTCTGAGGAACGACTTGAGCCCTGTGCCCACGTCCTCGCTCGTGTGCTGGAGTCACTTTTGTGCCTTTTGGTGTCAGGGCTCTTGGGCAAAACGTGCCTGGACACTGCCACACATGTGATGCCTTTCTGCGGTGCGCACTGGAGGATGCAGAACTGGCTGGGTCTGCGATGCTTTATGAAGCTGCTCTGACCTATTTCAGCAGCAGGGGAACTCTTCTCACCTGGTCTAACCCTTAGAGCAGCATAGAGTGACCTGGGGATAAGTTTTTGTTTCTGCTTTCTATCCCAAATCCTTTCCTTTCCATGGAAACAGCAGAAGTGGTCCTTCAGAGCTGATTGACCCCTGCACCTGCTGTGTTTCTTTTCCCTTTTTGTGGATGAGCAAGTGCCCCTTTGGGGATGAGCATCTCCTTGCTCCTCCCATTTTACAGCTCATAGCAAGGTGCTCAAGACACCCCACAGTTGTGGGGAGCAGCTGGCACAAGAGAAATAAGTCCTGAGGCTGCAGCAAAGCTTTTGGGTCATTTGCAGTGGCTCAGTGGGAGCTTGCAGAGGCAAAAAGCAGCTGGAGATGTGCTCTACAGTTCTGTGCTGGTTTGCAGATTCCTCAGGAGTGGTCCTGGGTCATCTGGCTTCCACCAAGAGTGCTCCTCTTCTCTCCACAGATCACATCCCAGGTGCTGTCTGTCTGTCTGTCTGTGGTGGGTTCCAGAGCAAGGAGGCCTCTCCATGCCATCACTGCACATTGATTTCAGCCTGTGGCACCCACACTGGGACACATGGATGCTCCAGGAAACAGCTGTGAACCCTGGGGCTGGAATAAAGACGCCAAAAACAATGCAGAAAAGAAAAGCAGAGGTAAGTCTGAGTTTGTGCAGGAGACTCTCAGGAAACACACCTGCTAAGGTGAAGCTGGGACCATCCGGTGAGGTTTATTTTGGATGCTGCTCTCCAGCACCCATTTCGGAGCAGCCAGTGTGCTTCCCATGGATGCTCGCTGCTGTCCTGAGCCCTTTATAAGCTCAGGAGCCCCTGCTACAAGGCAGCATAGTGCAGAACTAAAATGGCATGGTTTTGTAGGAGGGAGCAGGGGCTTTGTACCAGGGAGCTGCAGGACATCCTGGGCACAGCATGGCAAGATGGGAAGATCCACTGCGTGTCTGTGTTGGCTCTACAAAACTGCACGGGGACACAGCATCTGTAGCAAGAAAACCTCTGCAACTCATTCTGCTCCTGTATCTTTTTTCAGAAATGACACAGTCCAGCTCATTGTGGCCGTGGGACACAGCGGCTCTGACAGCATCCCAGTGCTGCGGCATCCCGCTGCTGCCTCTCTGAGGGGCCAGGGCTGATGCAGAGCAAGGCAGCAGCTTGGTGCTGCAGTGGCAAGCGGAGGCGTGTGGAGTGCTGTAGGTGTGCTGGCTGTGCCCCGTCGCTGTGGGGTAGAGCTGGTGCTGCAGTGAGCCCCTGTGGGATGGTGGTGGTGCCTGGGGTTGGAGGGCTGTGCAAGCTGGCTGTCGCAGGGCTGGGGAAAGCAGGGATGACGAAAGAGATAATGGAGAGAGATTTGGTGGGGTGCCTGATTTTTTTGGTGCTCTGGAGGGTTGCTGAAGTTCATCAGGAAGCGCAGCATCTCTCCCTTGTAAACGTTTGGGGCTGAGGCAGTGGGGTGAGTGGAATGGCACAGCTGGGTCTGGGAATGATGGCTTTGGGTTTGGCCAGTCCTTGGTGGCTCTGTGTCAGTGGTCAGAAGCCGGCCCCAGGGGGCACCCAGCAGGCTTTGACAGCAGCAGAGGTGGCTGCCTGCGGGCTCTCTCTGCTCCACGCTTTGGTTCACAGGTCTTGGGCTGCTCCCAGTCGTCCTCCGTGTTCTCGGGTTGTGGTTCCAAGAAATCCTTCAAGTTGGAGAAGCATCCCCCAAAGGGGTGGCAGCTGATTGCAGTATGCATGACAGAAGGCCGTGGACACAGTGGGTGCAGGGCCCCCATCCTCAGCTCTTGGGTAAGGCTGTCTGTCTGTCCTGCCAGGGGATGCACTGTGGACTGGTCCTGCCTCACTCCAGCCTCCCCTGGATGCGTCCTTCAATCCTTGTGTCTCCGGGCTCCTGTGCTCCTTGAAGTGGGGGTTGGCTGCCAGCTGGCTGGGCTCTGGGTTGGGGTGAGTGCTGCTCGCCGCCCCATTGCCCTCCAGGCAGTGCTGTTAGTGGCAGTGCAGTGGTGTTAGTGGCAGTGCGTGCACTCTGCCTCGCTCACCTGGGCCAGCAGCTTCTTCTTGGCCAGCAGAGACATGATGGGGTGGTTGCCTTTGGAGTAAAAGCTGGCAAAGAGGCCCTTGTAGGCTTCATTGTGGGCGCAGCGAGTGCTGGGACACCCCCCAGAGGGGCTGTGCCAGGGCCGTGGGGCTGGCACATTGCTCCCGTGGCCAGCCCTGCTTGTGGGCCTCTGTTGGGTCCTCCTTGCTGGCTTCAAGGGTGGCTCCCACCTCCAGCTTTGCCATCTCTGATGCCACCTGCAACCTAAAGCAGGTTTGGGGTGTGGGTGCCAGGCTGGGTCGTGCACCCGCCCCATCCCTCTGCTCTCCCTCCGGAAGCTCAGTTCTCCACTCTGGTCTTGACCTCATCCTTCCCAGAACTCCCTCGCCACGTGCCCAGTGTGGGGATGGATACAGGGAGGCAGAGCAGGGTGTGGGGTGGTTCCCAAGGTTCACCCCTGGCCACCCTCCTGCTCCCAGCCTTTCTCCTTCTAGCTCCTGCTGCTCTTCTCACTCATCTCAGTGCCCTTGGAGACCTTGTGCTGCTTTCAGGGTTTGCTGGGAGGCAGCGGCTTGTCGTCCTCGCCCTTCAGGTGCTGCTTGTACAGGAGGACCAGCCTGCGGGGTGCGAGTCACAGCGCTGAGCCCCAGCCCCACTAAACCCCTTGGAGGGGGGAAACGGAGGCACTTGGTGCCTCTCCCCCCCACACCGCCACCCCTCGTAGTGCTGCTGGGTCCACACTTGCCCACACTGGTGCTGCTGGGGCTGCTGCCCAGCTCACCGTACAGGTTCTTCTACAGCCATCTCCCTGTTACCTGCGGAGGCAGACGGTGTGAAGATGGATGAACCCTCCCCAAACCTGGAGCACAGAGCCATGGGATGGGGGACGCTGCCTGCTTACCAGCTCGTAGGCTCCAAGCTTCTCCATGCTTTGTAAATCTTGCACAGGTTAACTGGAAAGAAGGAAGGAGTCAGGGAGATGCGGTGCACACCAGCTCTTTGTCCCAAAGGCTCCTCCATCCCCAGAACATCCTCCGTCCTAGAAGCCCCTGCCAGGTATGCGCTGTGCTTGAAGTCGAGGTCTGGGATTGGATGCGCGCCTCTCCTTCATGAGCTTGGAGAGGCTGACGAGGAAGGCCTCCTCCTCCTCTTCCTCACCGCTGGCATCTGACGGTTTTGCCAGCTCGGGGCTTGGTGCCTCGTGGGTGGGGGATGCAGGAGGAACCCCGAGGGGCAGATCTGCTCAGTGCATCTTTGGGATGGGGAAGAAGAGTGCACGCACCTGAGAATCCCTCGCTGGTGTAAGAATGTCAGCACCGATAGATACCTGTGATGGGAACTTGTGTGGGAGCAATGATGTAGTAATAAAATAGGGCAAATCCTTACGCTGAGGGGGGCACCCTTCAGGGGGTACAAAATAACCGTTTGTGATGCCATGTTTGACAGTTTGCTCTGCGTTATGTGGGTGGTGGAGCTGTGCTGATGTAATCCATTTCCAGTTGTGAACAGGATTGCTCTGGGAGCTGCTGCAGTGCGATGCGTGTTGGCTGACTGTAAGCTGAAACGTCACTGCCTCTGAATACGGATGTGTGCGGGGATTTTGTTTGTAGTTCTGGGATTTCAGCCTTGCCCTATGGCAGCTCCGAAGAGGCCTTGTTTTCCCAAACCCTGCTTTGCTGCTAAATGAGGCTGATGGGAAATGCTGTGCTTTGGGCCCTTTGCTTTTAGTTTCTGTGGCCTGTGCACCTTGGAGGGTGCTTTCTTTCACATTTTTTTGTTTGCTAGCCACCTTTTCAGTAGGTAAGATTTATTAGAGATGGTCTTGCTTTCCTGTGGTGGCTATGTGTAGGTGCTGGACCAGGGGAGGTTATCAGAGAAGGGAAGGATTTGCTGCACTATTTGAATCGTAGCCTTTTAGACAAATGGGAGTTCAGGTGCTGATACTGCACTGTGTAGCTAGAGAACTTCCTCAGGAACAATCTGGGACGTGATCCCCAGTTCCCAGTTTGAGCTTCTCCATCTGTTTCTCCCATATTGGGGCAGACCTGTATCTTGGAGGCAAGATCTGGGCAGTGAAAAGCTCAGGGGATGTTGACTGGCCACGTTAGTATACGAAATGTTCAGGCATGGAAGGGAACAGCCAGTTTACAGCTGAGTAGTTTGCCTTTCCTCTGAAATTCCTGCGCCTGGTTTCTATGAGCACTGTTATCCACTGCTTGCAGTGAGACTCAGCACTGGGTTTGGGGGGCCTGGTGCTGAGCGAGGTGTAACTGCAGCTGTGCACTGAAGCAAACTGCACCCAGCAGTATCACAGGAGCTGGAACACCTGGTGTGTGCTGGGTTTTAAACTGGACGTGCTTTAATGGGACGGGACTTGTGGGCTGCCACTCGTTCCCTTGGGAGATTTCTGTGAGACTGGTTCCAGATGCTAGGACTGCCAAGGGGCCTGCATGCCCTTCTGTCAGCGATGCCTGTTCTCAAGGCAGGCGTATAGGTGGAGTTATACGTGCCTTGTTCTCTGTCAGGTTTGTTTTTGAACTGACGAGACAAAAATGAAATGGGGCACTTTTAGCTTGGATCACTTCCGTAATGCGGTGCAGTGCGTGGTCTCACACTGAGAAGGTGATGGCTGGGGGCTGGGGGCTGCTGGTGCTCCTTAAGAGGGCAAGGAGCTGAGCTGTGCTCCTGGCTGGCGCCAGCAGGTCTGTAAATGGCTGTGCTGAGGGGTCAGGCCTTGCAGAGAGCTGGGGCCAGCAGCTGGGAGACGACGGCTTCACAGCCAGCCCTCCTGCAGATCACCATGACTGGCGTTGGGCTGCAGCCTTGCATCGTGCCTTGGGTCAAGCAGGGGGCTGGAGGCAGGTGATGTTACTGGGTGGGAGCCACCAAACCGACAGTGTTCCTCATTCCTGTGCCTTGTACAGGCTGTGGGATCTTGACTTTGTTTGTTTTAGAGTGAGTTCAAACTTCTGCAGTGCCCGGTCTGCAGTGGTTCGGTCTGTCCGCTCTTGAAGTCAGTGGGAGCCTTCCTGGTAGTTTGGTTATTCAACTGCTCCACGAGAACCTTCCCTAAATGAAAGTATGTAGCTGTGGAAACATTTGTCTGTAGGCCAGCAGGCAGAACAAGTGTGTGCAGAGGGGTTTGTGGAAGCACCTTGCCCGTTAAGGAGCCTCTCTGTGCTGTGAGTGCTTCAGTGCTGTGATGAAAATAATGCAAAGGATTCTCATCATTAATGAGCTTGTTTGTGAATGGATGAAGCGTTGTCTTAAGGGCAGCAGTTGGAGCCCATCTAATGGAAGCTGACTGGAGGTGTGTCCTGTGGCTGTGACAACCTTTGCTTTATAGCAGCCTGTGCTTTTCAGTAGCTGCTTGCCACGCTGTAATGTGGTTGGAGGGGGAGAAACAGAGCACTGGCCATTTCCCATGATGCAGATAGCGATAAGTTTCCACTCAGTCACAAAGCTCTATGGTCTGGCAGGTTTACAGTTATTATCCTAAGATTGATGTCTGAGGGGACTGTAAAGATGTGCAGCATTGAGCAATGGGTAATCATTCTGTCCTGAGATGCAGCTTCTGTGCGGCATCACAAATGCGCATCAAAGAGTTGATTCTAGGCTTGTCAGCCCTCTCCATCCTTTCCTCTCCCCTGCACTCCCAGGTTCAACGTCCTTTGCCGTGTCCTACCACACGGTCGCTTTTCTGACCTTTCTTTCCTGATGGAAAAACAGGGATGGTGACACGAGCATCATTGGAGAGGCCGTTAAACTTGTTGTGTGAGCTTTCCTTTCTTTCCCCGCAGTGCTGTTTTGATCTTGGGCAAATCCCCCTCTTCTCTTCCACAGTTTCGTCCCTGCTGGATGAGGGTGATGAAGGTTCACGCGCTGTTTCTCCAGGAAGGACTCTGGAAGGGCAGTGTCAGCTGTGTGCAGAGTTGTGGTTCGTGCCTGTTGCCCTTTGCTCCCTCTCCCTCCTCACTGAACATCACGAGTTTGGCCGTCAGGTGCCGCCGTGTCCTGCAGGACTTCCTTTTTTCGCTCTGGGTTCTCCCCAGTTGGGCCTGTTTTTGAGATGCTGTTGGAAGTAATGCTCTGATCTGGAGAGCTGGAAACCTCTTTATCTCAGAGCACAGCTGTTCACAGCTGACAAGTAATAGACTGTGTGATGGAGACTGGGAAACTACTTCAGTTTCTCTGTGGAAGGCTCAGCTGTACGGCACGAGGTACTGAGCTGGTCTGGTTTTGCTCTCACAAGGAAAATAGAGGATTCGAAAAGGATGCCAGCAGAAGTGCTTGAACACCAGCTGTGCTTGACGGGTCTCCATTCAGCGATGGCTTTTTGCCTGCTTCATTATGCTTTAAGTTCTTTAAGCCACGAGCTCCCCTCCGTGCCGTTCTCCCACCAGTCAAATTGCCCTGTTTCCTTTAGAACTCCCCCTCACGCAGGAGCTGGCGCTTTGCTGCGAGTTTTACCTCTCCCTGACTTTGTAACTCGCCACTGTTCTGTGGGCCTGCATTCCAGTCGATGTCCCTGTTGTGTCAGTGCTGTTCTTAATACTGGAAATTGCCTTTTTCCCCCTTCTGGTCAGGATGTGATGCAGAAGCAGAAGCTGTCTGACAGCTGATTTTTCTGCAGTGTTTTTCTGCAGTGCTGATGCAAATGGTGTGTGGCTGTTCAGCAAAATAAGAAGACTTTTTCACGTCCCTTTGGCTTTTACCCATGACCATTTTTTCTGCTGGTTGGCAGAGTGATGAGGCTGGGGTTGAATGATGGGATTATCAGTATTTCTAAACTGACAGATCCTTGGATACCTCAAGCTGTTGTGGTGCTTTACCAGGTGGATCAGAAACGCAGACTGGAATATCTCAGTGGCTGATTCATTGGCCAAACAGCGACGTTTCAAACCCACGAGCTCATCTGGATGTTAATTTTCAGGGGGATCAAAGCTTGTTGGAATATGGGCTGTCTCTTTCCATATTACATGCATTTTGTGCAGTTGAGTCTTGCAGTGTCTTTATAATTCACTCTTCTGCCATGAGGCGGGATGGTGCGACGTCCTGTTGTTCAGACGAACCAAGGATGCTGCCCAGATGGTGAATGAGACAGGGAATTCAATTCTGACTGGTAAGAATCCTGGGCAACAGTTAGTAGGCCGGTATTTTCTGAGATAGAATTTATCATCATGCATTTGAGATCCGTCAGTGTTTCTGTTAACGCCAGAACACTCTGGGTGTATTTTCAAAGCAGGGCTTCCAGTCCTGCTAACAAACAGTGGGGTTTGTGCACGTACCTCCATGGGCTCACGTGGAAACAGACGTGAAGCATCAGAAGATTCCTGGGTGCGTGTTTAAGGCTTACTGCGTTCTCTACAGACTGAAATGGGATTTTCCTGATGCGGTGAGTGTTGATCTTATGGAATGTTCGTACTGGGAGAAATTGCTGCTGGTGGCTGAAACAAATGCTGGAGTTGTTCAGTGCAGAGCTGTCACGGTTCTGGTCTGCCTGGTGCCACAGTGGAAGAGCCTGGGCTGTTCTGGGAGAGAACCGTGTTCGTTGTACCTAAGCAGGAGAATGTCCCTGCGCTGTTATTCAGAAGAAAAGCTGTTCTGATCAACCTTACCTCAGGATCTTGTTTCTCAAATCCAAGCAAGACAGGACTGTGCATGTGTGTGCATTGAATGCGATGCTGGTGTTTGGTTTCCGTGAGATTCCCCACATGAGTGCCTGCTGGCTCTGAAGTTGGCTCTTGGAAGGCCATGACTCAGTGTCTCACTGACAGTGTGACAAACAGGACGTGGTTCTCGCAGGTCTGTTTCCTTGCCTAGCTTTATTTCCACTGCTGGGTAACTGTCTGTGCAAGAGCTGCTCAACAAAAGGAATGAAATGCACACTTTGCTGGAAAATTAGCGCTGAGTTTTGCCCATTTCCTTGGAATGGAAAAGTGAACCTAACGTGCCTTGTTGTTACCAAGGGATTTGTTTGCTGGAGGCAAGCTGAGAAATGGTGCCTGGGGCCTGTGGGCACAAACAGATGCCAGTTTCCTATTCCTGCAGCAGCCTTTAGATGTTGCATTAGCAATGGTAGTGAGACCAGACAGATCCAGGGATGTCCGTGCCCGAGGCTGGAAGTGAAGCTGGAGAAAAGCAAAACAGTTGACTTAAAGCATGTGTGCTTAGAAGCTGGGAAGCAATGAGAAGTGTCTTCCTCTGTTCCCGTGGCAGTTCTGCTGAGTAATAATCACTTGGCAAACAGCAGCAGCGTGGTAGGGGAGCTCAGGGTTGCAGTTTAGGAAGAGGATAGTGAGAGAGGCGAGAGGCTTTGCTAATGCTTGGCTGGGTGTAAGAAATGTTCTGCGTTAAGAACGTGTTTCGTATCAAACAATGTCAGCGGTCCACAGCATTTGAGGTACTGAACTCAGTGCAAATGAGAAAAGCTGATGCTTTTTGTCTGCTTGGTAGTGGAACAAGGAAAACTGAGGAAGGTTTTTGGCACAACTTTATTCTTCACATCTTTCCTGGAAAAAAAAAATTCAGGCGGCCAGGGCTCTGTCATTTATTCCTTCTGAGCCCTCGGAGCTGGATTTCTGCTCTTGGCTTTTCACAGGAGATTGGGCCAACAGAAAAGAGCTGATCCAGGAGCTCAGCTGGATCCAGGCTGACCTGCTGCTCAGTAAGTCCCCTCCAAGCTCAGCTAAAAACTTCAGTTTCCTTCTCCAAGTCACATTTGTCTGAGTTAAGCAAGCACTGAAGCAGATCTGTTCACCTCTGCTTTTCTTTTTAAGTTGCTCTTTCACTTCTGGACCTCCTGTAAGAATGACCACATGCTTTGCTTCTTGCTGATTCTGGGGTATCACAGTGCAGTTTCTCAGTCACGTATCTGGTCGTGAGCCATAGTTAAGGACGGAGGAGCTTTTCCTCCCTGCACATCTGCTGCTTCCCTGGCTTTCAGTAGAAACCCCCTTGTGAGCAGTGTAAGGTAGGGCTGAAGCCCTCCGCTGAGCAGCACGGTGTGGCTGAGTGCTGACACCGTGACTGCAGGGTGGGCTGGTGCAGCACACAGCTGTGATGGCTCTGTGCCGTCACTGATCCACTCCTTGTTCAGCTTAGTGACGTTATTTTGGTTTTGTGTCTCACTCTGAGAGGTGACTGCACTGCATGAAGGCAGCACCAGGAGAGAAACAGCTGTGCGGCACGATTTGGGAAGGGAACGTCTGAGTGCAGACTCCTCTCTAACACGACAGCAATAGTGAGCTTTGGGATCAGGGTGTTTTGCAGAGCTCCTGGTAGGAGTTGCTCTCTGGAGCCACAGCTCTGCAGTGAGGAGCCTTAGTCTGCCTGGGTGGGTGTTTGCCCCTGCACCATCAGCTGCAGCAATTCCACTCAGCAGAAAGCATCCCTGCGCACCAGGGGAACAGAGAACTCCAAAACCCCAACCGACCTACTGACTGTTATTGGCTGTTCTCCCCTTCAACATCAATAACTAGATGCTATTGGCAGAGTCTGGGAATAGCTGAGAGCTTTTTTCCCATCTGCTACACTGTGCGTGGCTCTTTAAAGGTGTGACCTTATCAAAGGTGGACTCAAAGCACAAATAGAACTGAAGGCAGGCTCTGTCTAGTTCAGATTCCCTTCAGTGGACCGTGGTGGCGGTGAGCAATGGCTGTGCTGCTGAAGTTCATTCTGTCCTTCAGCACGGTTTTATCAGCAGTTAGGATGTAAAAAGCAGCGCTTATTGGCTTCAGGATCCTCCAAGCTTTCTGGCTGGCACTTGCTTACTTGGCCTAAAAATCAGGCAGGCTTTATACTCCAGCTGTAGTATTGACGTAGTGCAGTTTCACCTGCCGCATTGGGAGAAGAGGCATTGATGCCTTCTTAATGGGATTGCTGGTTAAACTGCAGCTGCAGGACCTTTACTGAGTGGGATTGTTGGAGGAGCAGCTTGCTGTGACTTGGAGCTGACAGCGTGGAGGTTGGCAGCTGTTCCATTATCCCCACGCCATCAGGATCCAGAAGCACTGTGCAGAGAGGGGTACCAGGAGGATGTGCTTACTTGCAAAAAAGCACTTGAAAACTGTAGGTATTTTAAGGAGAGAAGCTGGAAATGGTTTTTGGTGAGAAACCTGTTTTTCTAAAAGATGCTGATTGTGACTTAGAATGTCGCTGTGCCCTTTTGGTTTCAGCTGTGTTGGCTGACCGGGAGAGAGCTGAGCTGCTGCTTTCAGGGAGACAAGGAAAATGCTTTACAAATGTTTAGCACCCGAACTCCTTAACAAACTAAAATACGGCACCTTTCACGTGGCCACCTGCTTGCTCTGTAGTCTTGCATTTCTGCCTGAGATAGGTGCAAATGTTACTCTAGGAAATGAGCCCATGAAGGCCTAGTTGATCAAATCAGTTCAGGGTCACTCTGCTCCCTTACAGTACATCTGCAGCTCGGCCAGAGGTGTGAAGGCTGCAGATCTGACTGGGGGTCTTGAAATTAGTTCACATGTGCAGAGGGGGGCAGCAATGACGTGTGGGTGCCCGACGGCCCCATGTCTTTGTGCAGAGCGAGCAGTGGGTGCTGCCTGATAGGAACACTTAGAAAGCTGGCTCTGGCAGCTGGAGCGCTGGGGAGTCTGGTGTGTGTGTACGACCTCGGGGGACAGTGCTTCATCTTTATAGGAGGTGCATGTAAACGTGAGAGGGCAGAACTTGGTCTGTAAATAGGAGCTAGTTGGGAGCAAGCCTTTTCCAGAGCCGGGCTCATGTCATGATAGTTTTCATTTCTTCAGCCAGACACAAATCAAAGTCACAGTCCTAGAAATGCTTACGTGGAAGCTTTAAGATTCACTAGGTGCTCAAAGTAGCCTGCAACTGCAGGGCCTTTTGCTTGAACACACATCGAAGCTTCTTCAGTGCCTCTGGGCACCGAGCGTTTTGCTCTGGTGATGCATGTGTGCTGTTGCACCTATTGTAAACCTCGGCGTCTCTTTCTGTTCCCACAGTCCGGTGCTCTTTAACATCTTTGTCAGTGACATCGGTGACGGAATGGAGTGCACCCTCAGCAATTTGCTGACGACACCAAGCTGAGTGGTGCGGTTGCCGCAGTAGAAGGAAGGGATGCCGTTCAGAGGGACCTCGACAGGCTGGAAAGGTGGGCATGGGTGAACCTGATGAGGTTCAGCACGGCAAAGCGCAGAGTTCGGCGCTTGGGCCGGAGGAATCGCAGGCGTCCATGCAAACTGGAAGGAGCGGTGCTTGAGAGCAGCCCTGTGGAGAGGGACCTGGGGGTCTTGATAGACGGAGAGCTGAACGTGAGCCAGCAGTGTGCCCTTGTAGGTCGGAAGGCAAATGGTATCCTGGGCTCCATCAGAAGAGAGGTGGCCAGCAGGGACAGGGTGAGGTGCTGGAACAGCTGCCCAGAGAGGCTGTGGATGCCCCGTGCATCCTGGAGGTGTTCGAGGGCAGGCTGGATGGGGCCCTGGGCAGCCTGGGCTGGTATGAAATGGGGAGGTTGGTGGCCCTGCCTGTGGCAGGGGGTTGGAGATTGGTCATCCTTGAGGTGCCTTCCAACCTTGGCAATGCTGTGGTCCTGTGATACCAAACCTTTGAATCCTTGAGCCGTTTCTCGCTGTGACTGCTGTTCCTCTGTGGTATGCAGCACTCCTGTGTTACCTGCTCACCTGGAGCAGATCTGAGAGGTGCTGCCGCCTGCAGGAATGAGAACAGGCCTGGGAGGCTGGAGGTGGAGAAGTTGAGTTCTGGCTCACAGGGCAGCTTGAGCAAGGCGCTTTGCCCTTCTCTTTCATTTTCCTCACCTTTGCTTGGAAAACAGCAGGAGTGTTTCCCTGCTTGCAGAACAGTTGATTGAATCCCTTCCAGATCTTTGGAAATGTGGCATGCTGTGGGACATAGATGTCCTTTAGTGGCAATCAGCAGTGAGCTGAGAGAGAATGGTCCTGCTTGGCCTGGAATGGTGCCCGTGCGCTCGGCGCTTTCTTCTCTTCCACTCCTGTTTACCCGTGGTTGCACAGGAGACGCAGCAGAGCTTGCTGTCTCAGCTGTCCTGTGCATGCCAGTGGAGATGGATCCAGACCTGGCTTCCCACGAGTCTCCTTGGGACCTGACATACCTGTTAGTTGTTCAGCGTTGCCAAAACCCTCACTGTCCACTGAACGTTCGTGTAGGAGAATCCTGGCCTCACCTTTCGCTGTTCTTCTGCAGTTCCACCTCATGAGCACCTTTCCTACAGCTGGGGAAAAGGCTGGCAAACAAACAGCACAAAGACCACACCTTGGTTCTTGAGAGTCACAGCACTGTGTTTATTGCAGGGAGTGCAAGCCAACTGCCTGCTGGAGCAATCTCTTACCTGAGAGCAGCCGGTCTGACTGTAAGCCAAATAGTCGTTTTGTCCTCTTGGAGTTGTGTAGAAAACCTGTTGCTCCTTTGCAGTTTCACTGGAGGAAGGTATTTATTTTTTTTAATGTCCTATAAAATATCTGACCCAGTTGTAATTCCCTGTGTATTTATCCAGGACCTTTTCTTCTCTCTTCTTCCATCTCTAAGAAAATCCATTGGGTGGGGAAGCTGTGCGTCAGTCTGCAAGACTTCTGCCCCAGCCGTGCAGGTGGAGCAAGGAAAGGCTCCCGCTTCTGCTGACCTCCTTTGCAGCAGCTTGCTCTCATCCTCCTGCGTAACCCGGGATTGGACTCGCTCAGTATCCTGGGAGGGAGCTTGTCAAGAAGGACTCAGTGTGCTGGGCAGCCAAGTGCAGCCACGTGGCCTGGTATTTTCAGGGCAGATCACGTAACGAATCCTGAGTTGATGGCAGCGGTCGCGCCGGTAGAGTTTGGGGCTCTCCTCACAAGAGCTGTGCACGTAATGCCTCCGTCATTTCTGAGGGAGGAAGGCCGAGGGATGGAATCCTTTGGACTGCGTGCCTCTGGCACTGATGGTGAGCGGATGTCAGCGGTTCATGGGATGCGAACAGCCTGCGTGCTGGGCGTCTGCACAGGCACTGATAGGAGAAGCTGTGGGGCGAGGGGTGTCAGCTAGAAAATGGTAGTCACGTCTGCTGATCTTACGGGCCAGAGCTATTCCTGGACATCCTACCCCTTTTGTCATCAGCAACTTCCCTTTTGTGCATTCACGGTGATTTAATCACAGTTTCTGTTTCACCACGCAGCGCTCTGCATGAATGTTTGCAGCCTCCCTGCAAAGCTGTCGTACGTTGAAGCTTTTGCATGTGAGTGTCTCTCTTTTCCGTTTCTTCTGCTTCTCTGCAGTTGGTTCTCTTGTGGAAACAAGGAGCAGAGTCTGTTTTCAGCTCTGCAGAGCAGAAGAGCAGCTCTCAGGCTTTGTAAAAACTGGCACCACTGGGAGAACTTGACTGCTTGAACCTTCTGCTTGACTGTATGTGGAAGGCAAGTGCGTGTTACTTTTCCCTGTCCTCAGTTTGAGGTGCTGGCTTGGCTTTTTTTCTTCTCCAAAAGTCAGTAACGTAGCTGAAGAAAGTACAAGCTTTTCTGCACAAATTCGCCCTTGATCTTTAGTAGCGAACTGGGAACAACAGATTTGTTTAACGTAAAGTGCTCTGCCTAAAACTTTCTCAAACCCAAACAGGACTTATGGTCATGTGGGAGCAACTTAACTTCAGCACCGTGTGCCAACCATGGAAATGAAGGTAGGAGCGAGCTATATCCTGTAGGATTTTGGAGGGGAAAAAAGCAGGTGATAAAGTGGAACAGAAGAGGTTCCAGGTGGGGAGTCTCAGCCACCTGGAAATCAAACAGGCGTAACAGTGCGACCCAGCTTTGCTCATGTTCTGGTGAGGATGACTTGCTCTGAAGGTGGCTCAAGGCCGTCTTAAGTAATGAATGGTTTCATCTGACATAATTAGTGAAAGATGCGCCAAATTCTGTTCAAGAGTCTATGGGGTTGTGCACTGCATAGCACCTTGTCCACGTGCCCCTTAATCTCCAGGAACCTCGACCACGCAGCAGCTAGCTATCTAGTTTAAACCAGTCGGTTTGTCAGCTTCTGTAGGCTTCTCTATAGAAATCACTGTCGCACAGAAGAGGTGGGATCAAGTTATCTGCCCTCTGGAGGTGCATATTTATTTGCACTAACTTCACAGGGAGCCTAAGCAGTGCTAGCTCGGTCTTGGCTAGCTGACTGTTAGATGTGTGAGACGAGGTGCCATAAATTTGCCCTCACAGCAATAAGTAGTGAGGTGGGAGTTAAACTCACCATGGGGAAAGACAAAGATGGGAACGCATGCCCAAAAGCAGTCTGGGATTTGAGTGTGCTGAGCACCTCTCTCGTGTTGGTAACTCTAAAAGCAGCGGTTGCTTTGGTTTGCTATTTGTCTGTCACAGCGATGATCTCTGTGGCACCATGCAGGGCACTGCCTGCTCTGCACAATATGAGGAGTTGGACTCCATGGATACAACCAGGGGTTGCATCCAAGATGGAGCTGGGGGTTACAATGATGCTGTTGTGTGTTGTCTGAGATAGCAGAGACAATGCAGTAAGTGCACGGCCTGCTTGCTGGAGCAACGTGCTGCAAGGCACAGGCAGATGGCTGGTGCTGGGTACGGTGCACAGGACTCCCAGCCAGAATCAGAGCTCTGAGGTCTGTTTTGAACTCTGTTAATACAAAACTCTCTCACTTCCCTGCTTTCCTACCTGGTATGACAAACCAAACTAACCAACCCCTCTGGAGCCCTAACGCTCCTTTTGCAGCTCCTTCAGACCTCTGCCATCTCCCCCTCCTGGTTTCTGTTCTGGTGATTTGGTCACAGGACTTCAACGAGCTTGCAGTGCTGCTGTTGTTGCTGTTGTTTTTAAAGAGGGAATGCCCAAAGGGTTCCAGTCTGAGAAGGGCTCACGCTTGCACTGTGACCAGGAACAGCTCAGGGGTGTTCCTCGTTCTCCCTTGGCCCCACGTATGAGGTGAGCTGCTTTTTGCAGGAGCTGACTGGCATCACACCCAGGTGCCTTTGGTTCCCACTCAGCCTTATGACTGATTCAGAAAGAAAAAGTGGGGTGGTGGGGCTGGGTCATGTGTTGGCAGTACCCCAAATAACAGAAGAGAAAGACGGGCAGGGCGCTGCAGGTGCAAACCTCTTCTCTTCCTGCCGTTGCACGTTTGTGTTATTCTGGATAAAGCAGAGCAGCCCGGCCTCATCTGGGGTCTGCAGGCACAGCTCTGATGGAAGAGGTAGCAGGAGGGCTGTTGGAACAGTGACTGTGGCGTTTTAAAGTAGCAGCTGAGCACAAATGTTTGCTGTTGGGCTTCTTGGGACAAGGGGCACAGGCAGATACAGCTCCCACAGTGCTTCTGTTAGCTGGCGTCTGTAGTGAATGCTGAAACCTCAGGCTTCCTGTACTGACCGCAGGTTTTCACTTTACTGGGGTATTTGCATTGCATGATTGTCATACTGCAATACTTGGGTAAACCTTTCTTTTGTCTCTGGGTGAGCACTTCCACTTCCCCCTCCTGCTCTGTGTGATTCTAGTCTTTCTGCTCCCAAGGCTTCAGGGAGTTCATCGTGCCTCACTTTCAGACTGACCATTTGATCTTCTTGACAGCAAAAGAAGAAGATGCTTCACCACCTCCCTGCGCTGCTGCACTCCATGCCATCCTGTAGGGCTCCTCTGTGCAGCTCTTCAGTGCTGTAAAAGGTCCTGTGAAGGATCGCATTGCTTGGCTCGGTGCTGAAGGCAGCAGGGCACACAGTGTCCTTGGTGTGCTCCAGCAGCAGTGGAAACAAGGGTGAGCCAGCTCGTGTGCATCTTAGCTCTGGCAAGGATGATCAGAGCCATAGCCCAGCAGGAAATGGGCATTCCCTCTGCAAGTGAAAGGTCAGGAGTGCAGAAAGCTCACTGCCTTTTTAGGAAGGTTGGAAGTTTGTCTCCCCCCTCCCCTTTTTTTTCCTGAAAGGAAAGCACACAGAGGATATTTTCTTATGCAAAGATGGGCTGTTTTGCTGAGAACATTTGGTGCCATCTATTTTTCCACTTTGGAAGGCTGGTAACCTCTGGGTCAAATCCATTCAGTCCTGCCATCTGCATGACTCACCAGTGGCCGCTGGCGTTTGGTGTCCGCACTGTGCCACCAAAATTCTCCAGCAGGAAGAGGAAAGTGATGGAAACAAAGCCCTGGGACGTCGCTTCTGTGGCCACCAGCGAAAATAAGTGGCAGCTTCAAGCCTCGTGCTTTCTGATGACGTACCCTGGCCATATTCCTCGTGGTGGCAGCGGGTGCCCTGCGGGAGGAATACCAAAGGAACCGGCACGGGCATTTCCTGGTAAAGACCCGTGGTACCGGGCAGTGCGTGAGGATGCTGTGATGTTTTTCAAGCAGGAACGGCCCCAACGCAGTAGAAAGCACGCCTTCACCAGGAAGAATACCTGTGCACACATGTCCACATACGTATACTTCTTCTACCCAAGAAGCACAGGCACAGTCTGTTACCAGTCATTCAGCTGGAGTGGGTGGAAAGATACTCAGAGGAGCTTTTCTGTTGCAGGTCTGGGAATCTTGTTGCGTCTCGAAATCAAAGGCCCTTGTAGATGTGTGCAAGTCTTGATGAGGTCTAAATTGGGAAGGTTTTGAGAATCCAGATGGGATTTCTGGTCAAAACACCCCTGCCAGCTGAGAAAGCAGAGGATGTAGTCGTGCCACAGAGAGCTTGGGCTCAGTCAGGCTGAGCGAGAGCTTGAAGTGTCACTGAAGACCCCAAGGCGGGGGGCAGGGGGCCGTAGGGTTCTTCACTCTGCTGGAGCCTGTCCTGCCTTACGTCTTCAGGATTTTCTCAAAGCCAGCCTGGACGTTTCCTGTGTAACAGATGCCCTCTGTGAAGCCAACAGCAGTCATACCCTGTGTTTAACTGTAGAATGGGGGAAGTCAATGCATTGCAGACCGGGTGGAATTTTGCTCCACGTCAGTTCCATTGGACAGTTTAGCAGATGTAGTGGCTTTTTCTTTCCATATTGCTACTAACGTCAGAGTTTTGTCTGACGTTAATATCGGAATTTCTTCTGTATTAATCTGTTCAATTTATGTTACAAGACAAACTGTGTAGAACAGACATTGATTTTCCTTCTGAGCACAGTATCTGGCCATAGTCCTAACACTAGAAATAGTGAGTCATGGAATCAATAGCACATGCTGTGGTCTTTGTGAAGACGTCTCATCTGGCACAGTCACGTTACAAAGCATCAGCACTGGAAGTTTATTCTCACTCACTTGAATGGTTTCTCTTTCCCACAAACGTGTGTGAAGTCCTGCCTTTCTTTCTTTTCCTCGGAGCCTGTGTTAAACTGCACTTGT